TACCCCAGCATGCTTCCACATAAGTTTCAGCTTTTCTGGCCCAGTGGTTCTTGAGAAAAAGATTTTTAAAGATTTTTCCTATATATTTCAATGTAAAACTTGGATTCCTTATTGTGGCCCCGCCCTACCTCCGGGGGTCATGATTTGAACAAATTAGAATCTACACTACCTTAGGATGCTTCCACATAAGTTTCAGCTTTTCTGGCCCAGTGGTTCTTGAGAAGAAGATTTTTTAATGACCCCACCCAATTTTTGTATTTTCTTGATTATCTCCCCTTTGAAGGGGACTTGGCCCTTCATTTTAACAATTTAAACTCCCCTTCACCCAAGGTTGCTTTGTACCAAGTTTGGTTAAAATTGGCCCAGTGGTTCTTGAGAAGAAGTCAAAAATGTGAAAAGTTTACAGACGGACGGAGAGACGGACGGACAGATGGACGGACGATGGATAATGGGTGATCAGAAAAGCTCACTTGAGCTTTCAGCTCAGGTGAGCTAGAAAGGTTCAACCTCATCATTTCTGACCTTTTGAGAACAACCCTGCTGTATAATTGTTCCTCAATCAGATCACTAAATGCACTCTAAATGCCCTAAATGGACTAAGGCCACCACACTGTAAGCTCCTTATGAATACACAAATTGATTGATGATGATGAACAGGTTCGTATTAATATAACTATCAAAAAAGCTCCTGTTCTCATGTAATGATTGGACAAAATGTATGCATTGAGGAAAATCTAGCCATTGGCTGTATTCTTTCTTCCATAGGGGAATATTAATTTACTTATATAGCCTAAATACATTTACCAGTAACTGCTTGTGTCTGCATGAATACTATAGTACATGTATACTGGTGTCTCACATTATAATGGTACTTTTAAGTTTAGAGATCGAATTATTATTTTCAAAACATTGAACATACAGAATAACTTAAGGTATTTAGAGTTAATAGGACAGTTGATACATAAAAGTTAAAATTTAATACAAGAAATGAAATCAAATGTCTTTTATTGACTCATCAAGTTATCAATTAGACCTATACCTATTATCAGCTAACTTAATTAAATTGTCAGAGCTTTATATACTTCTGTGATGCCCGGTGAATAAAAAAAAAGCGTTACAAATAATAATTGAACCCACGATATAGGAGAATGAATTGTATACATGTATATATATATTACCTGATTACTGCTCCATAGGTGCAGGTTCTGGTTCAAAAGAATAAAATTGTCTTCAAAAACATCCTTACATGAAAGTTATTACTGTACAGTAAATATAATTATTGGTTTAAATGAAACAGCTCTAGGAGCTGGGAACAGCGTGTTGGCATCGTGTTAGTCAATGTACAGTCTCGAAATAATGCATGATGGATGCACTTACATGTAGACCTGCATGTCATGGTGATCAGCTGCTTGCGAAAAATGGCAAAATCAGTTAAACTCAGTATTGCATTTCAGTGAATAATGACTCAAAGTACATATATTCATATTTTTAAAAACTTTATATCTTACCATATCGATACACTTTACTTAAGATTACATCTTTCTCGTGATTCTGCTGCTGCTAAACTTCATAACACTGAAGAGTGATCAAAGGAGCATAACTCTTGTATCAACCGAAACTACATTTGTAGGAGAGAGAGAGAGAGAGAATAAATGGGGTTAAAGATGCAGACAGATGAACGTTATTTTATCTCTTTTACATGTATTTATTTAGGCATTAATAGATCAATTAATCAATCAATTTATTTATTTATTTATTTTATTTATATATTTATTTATTTATTTATTTATTTATTTATTTATTTATTTATTTATTTATTTATTTATTTATTTATTTATTTATTTATGTTTGTTTGGGTTTCTTTATTAATAAATATTATACATGTTGTATACAGGTAGTTCATATAATACGCACATACCCATCGTGTGAGTGTGGGGGGGGGGGGGGGGTCTATAGAAACTATAAGAAAATAACGATGAAGCATGTAATACAAACATAAGAATTGAATTCCATCAAAATGATCTATCAGATGTGTATAACAACATTAATGTAGATTCAAACTCTGTTAAGATATTGTATGAAAAAAATTTTGACATTCAACAAAAAACATTGTTAGATATCCATGCCTCATCCAAAGGATTTTTATACCCATAACAATTTAGGGTAGAGTCCGATCCTCCGGTTCTGAAAATCGGAAGTTAAGCAATTGGAAATGCTCACAAAAATGTCTCTGAATTCAGATAGTACATGTAATATATTTACCCTGGTATTTCTTCAAAGTTCATCATTAAAGTTAATCATATTATAAAGGGAAAATTATCAATTTTCTGATATATTTTCAGGAAATGTGAATAAAAGCACCAGCAATGCATTTTCTAATTGAAAATTGATCAACAAGTTATAGTTACACTATAGATATTAATTGGTTAGCTGTAAATACACTCACAGTTTTTCATTCACGAGGGGCGGAGCCCCGAGTGAATAAAAACTGTGAGTGTATTTACAGCTAACCAATTAATATTTATTGTGTAAGTTACTTGTACCAGAGGACTAATGAGAGAAAAGCGAGTTGATAAATAGCACCGCCTACTACGAGGTGTCAAGACACGGTCCGGAGTCTGTATAAATAGCTGTCTCCATCTGCAAGGATCATACTTTACTGCGACACTGCTACTACAAGTTGTTGATAAAAAAATCGGAATTGGTACGTGTGAAGATATTGTACCTTTGAAATGTTGAAGACGCAGAAAACATGATTTTTGTCAGGTACAGTTATAGGGGTAGCGATTGTAGGCTTTTATGTTCAAGCCGTCAACTCTGAAAGAAAAGTTATCTTTCTAGATCGTTTTTTTTTTTTTTTTTTTTTTTGAAAAAAGGGGGGATGGATATGGGAAACATCGGCATTGAACTTTTTCTTTATGGCAATCGGCGTACAGAAAAAAATGAAATGATTTGTGACATTTTAATGAAAGTTTGAAATGGTATTGGAAGTAAAAAAAAAAATGCGGGGACTTCTGATGTGAAATTGCTATATGTATTTGGAGACGGGAAAGAAAATGACGAGAATTCGAGATAGGACGTATCATTTACTGATTAAGGATACGCGGAGAAAACATACAGAACCATTTATGAAGCGGACACCGACTAGCTAAATAATGTTAGTATTTTTGAAATTTAAAATGTTGACTTAATTCATTCATCAGCCATTGCCTTGGTCTTGAAATTGACATCATTCATTCATTAGTCAAGGTCTTGACACAGTATGGCTTGATGCCAAAAGGTGGGCGTGACTTAAAAAAAACTGTGATTCTTCTGGCAAATACACCACAGCAAAATCTAAATTTACCGCCAGTCCTATGGTACAAATATATTTTAGAATATAAAAAAAACTATGATTGTTAAATAACACATAGTGTATAAAAGGCTTTGTTCTAAAGACATCACATATCATTGTAATTTCATCTCATGTTAATAAGCATTGGTATCTAAGGCTAGATTTATATAGGAAATTCGATTCTCTAAAATGTATTTATGTTCTTTTATGGGGTAAAAATGTCAACTTTTTTACACTATTTCTTCTAAGACTTCAAATAACCTTATATAAAATTGAGATGCATGAAATGAGAATTGTTGCACGAAAGGATTCTAATTTCAAGCCTCCTTTTGAGAATTTTTAAATTATGTAATTATTTTTATCGCTATCCTTCCTGGCTGAGGAGCGGATATCCTTAAGCCCCATTCTAGAAATACGTAGCTCTTCGGGTGGCTCGTGTGCCTCGCACACTATAATACTTTGTACAGAGCGTAGCCGATTGGAAATATGTATCTATAACAAGCATTACTAATTTGAAGGTACTTGCAGATTTTCTGAACCTTTTTTTTCATTCAAGGAACGTCCTAAACAAAAGTGTAACAAACACGCTCATGGATGCCACAGGTTTTAATCCACCGCCACCCCTACAGAGGACTGAAATAAAGATTGGGTGGGTTGCACAACCGAATAGGAATTCCTTGACAACTTTTTGTTGTTGTTGTTGTTTTTTTTTTTTTTTTTTTTTTTTTTTTTTTTTTTTTTTTTGTTTTTTGTTTTTTGTTTGTTTGTTTGTTTGTTTTTTTTTTTTTGAGGAAACTGTACCCAATCATAGATCAGCATGTATGATTTTTGCGATATAGTGTATACTGGCATAAAATTCAACCCCTAAACGCCGAAAGGACCCGTTTGCTTGATTTTACGTGATTACTATATATCTCAAAAAAGTATATACGGTGATTAAGTAATTTAATCGAACACGTGTTATCGGTCCCTGTGCAACAGACCTAAATTATAAAACTAATGTTATACTTCTGTGGCAATATATGTAATGTATACGCCAATAAAGATACTACTACCTAAAGAACTTAGTTCTTTATAAGGATTTCACTTTCTTTGATCTAGATATAAGATGTTGTTTATTCAGTGTCAAGTGTAGAAACATTGATTTAATGCAATGATTCACTCCCCTGTTCAGCAAATTTTCATTATTACCACAAAATGTAGCAACAAATCACTTAAATCGCTTTTTTATTAAGACAACTTGATAGAAACCAAAAAATGCCCTTTAAAGTATCTTTGTTGAACGAGGATTTTAATCTTATGTACATATTAAAAGTGCATTTCTTAAAGAGCAAATATTTATAAAAAGCCATCACAGATTTATAGTATATAATATCCCAGATTCTGGATATTGCTTATCTTTTTTTTCTTGGATTGTAAGCGTAGTATATAATCGAATTCGCTAGACTAAATACAAAAATACATGAAAAATAGGAGATAGAGGTACGACAAACTACTTCCAAGAAATACAAGACCACGTAAATCTTTCGAAATGCAAATTCAAAATTCCTTTTACATTATCATTTTACTGTTTTTGTTTAACACTGGAGATGGTTCTGCATTGTTAATGCATGGAAATTCTAGTGGAAGCGACACGATCCATGGGGCAGGTGGGCACAATACAGATATGGCGGAAATTAAGCAAATGTTTCTGAACTTGACAACTGAGATTGAATATCTAAGGAGACAAACAGACATTATACCGGTTCTAAAGCAGAATCTTACTGTTCTTGGTAAAGAAAAAAAGTTACTGCAAAACAGAGTATTCTTTTTGGAAGCGGAACTGAATAAACTAAATGCCTCTAAGCCTCCCTCCTATGATGAATTAATGACGTATCTAAGAGGGACAAAACAAATAGTTCAAACTCTGGCGGCAAATGAAGAATACGACAAAAATCTAACGCAGCAACTGAATAAAGCGGAGAATAATATCGCGATTTGTGAGAAGCAAAACAAGAACATAACGAAACGACTTGACGAAGTATTGAATAATTTAGTGATACACGAAAAGCAGGATAAAAACTTTACTCAACGATTTAATGAAATAGAGAATATTTTGGTGGAATATGATACGCGGGGAAAAAACGTCACTAAACGACTTAATGAAATTCATAATTATTTTGATTGCAAATGAGGAATATGACAATAACCTAACGGTGAGACTGAATGAAGCTGAGAATAATATTGTGATTTGTGAGAAGCAGAATAAGAACTAAACTCAACGACTTGACGAAGTAATAAATAATTTGATGATAAACGAAAAGCAGGATAAAAACTTCACTCAACGACTTAATGAAATAGTGAATGTTTTAATGAAATATGATAAGCAGGGAAAAAACGTCACTCAACGACTTAATGAAATTCATAATATTTTGACTGCAAATGAGGAGTATGACAAAAATTTAACTCTACAGCTCACCGATTCAATGAACAACTTACAAGATATAAAAGTTCAAATGCGATACACAAGCTTGTCACTAATGGACGTGCATTCTAAGACGGACTCACTCAATACTACATTAACTAGAAATTTTGACGATCAAATAAGGGACGTTTATGGACGAATAACCAGTATGTATCCTTGCATTGCATGCTATTTCTTAAATATACAAGTAGTTTTATAATCACTGTAAAGTACATGTAGTTTCATAAAGGGTGTCCTTAGTTAACGAATTTTTATTACACACGTTTGTTATGTATACAAGTATGTAAAATAAAAATTCGTTGGAATTAATTCACTTTATCTTCTGAATTATTTATTAAGCTTTTTTAAAAAACATATTCTATATCCTTAATTAAAACCACAGGCAGACAAACTTTATTTAACTATTACCAGTAATTATTCACAAAAGTGAGTATAACATACCCGAAAAATTATCGAAAGTAATCAAATGTGCCATTATGAATGCTGATTTTAAAATATACAACAAATAAAAAATTATTACGAATTTATTGAACCTTAAATTGCAGACATTACCAAAAAAGTAGCCTTTACGGTAGGTGTGACGTCATACAGCAGCTCCTGGAACAGCGGTACATTGGTGTTCGATAGGATCGTCTACAACATAGGAGGAGGGTACGACTCAAGTACTGGTGTCTTCACATCTCCTGTAGACGGACACTTTGTTTTCTTCGTGAACGTTCAAGCTTATGGGGGAAACTCTGTATACACATATTTAGTTCTTAACGGCTCGGCTAAAGTCACATCAATGGCAAATGGTGGCTCTTACCAGGCATACTTGGCAGGACCCAACCTGGTGGTATTAAGGCTTCAAAAAGGAGATCGAGTTTGGGTGAAATATTACGCTGGAACTGGGTATTATACTGAAGGTTTAGCTCCTGTCACCACGTTTTCTGGATTCCGCCTATGATTTATTGACAAGTGTACTTTTAAAAAGTTGTAATTTCAGCATATATTAAAAATATAATGAGGATTATAGCATATCTTTTCAAACAATCCAGAATAAAGTAAAATTAATTTTTCAAAAGGTGTGCAACCTCGATGGTAGTGTAAATTGTGTTTTTGAAAAGAAAATAAAGTGAATGGAGGTTTAATTATAAATTACTGCATAACAGTGGGAAAAAAGTATATTTTGAGTTTACATATTTTTCAGATTAACATCTCCTAAATTTGTACAGTTACTTTATATCAAGTGATTTTGTTTTATCAGATTCTTCTCAATTCTATTCATAAAATGAGACATATGAGAATTAAGAAATACTGTATGTACATAAATTGGCGTATTCAAAATTTAGAACAATCACTGGGTATGGAGTTTTTGGCGAAATCATGAATTAGCGCTATTCATGTCCGTACCGTATATCTATACTTATAAATTAATAAATTTTGCAAATAAACTCCGAAACGGGTGCACCAGAGTTTTTACTTACTCCTCTAACAATACACTAGATACAAGCTGATGTCCGTAAACTATATTTAGATTTCACTCGCATAGTAAGTATCGTACATTAAATTAAAAGTCTACTTTCATTTTCTATAAACAGCCATGAAATAGCTAAAACGTGAGTACGGTGGCGTTTTCTGTTGGCGGATCTAAGTTACTGGCAATTTTTAATGAAACTGACAACAAGCAATCGTTTCTTTATTACATAAAACGTCATCACTGAATTATTAAATCAAAACTCGATTTAAATAATATAAAAGAAATGTGATAACCGATTAAAAAGGGAAATGTGCAAAATATTTTCGTCATTCACCGATCTTAATATTGACAGAAGCTTCTAGAACATCAGAATGTTTTAAAAAAGAGGCGATTATAGCTACATGACCATAAAAAAAGCTTTTGTGTAAATGGTCATAATTGAAATAATGGTAAATCACTGATAAAACTATAAGTTGTTAATATAATTATATATCGAAAGACTATTACATATACATGTATGTAGTAGGTTTTCCTAATAAATTTATCGGTAAAATTTGTATATATTCCTTACTGAGAGCATCGTGGCAACGAACCCGAAGTACAATTTGTACTTCGTAATAAACTTGCTTACATAAAAAGAGAAAATTAATGAATAAGGTATTGTTCAAATACAATTAAAGATGTAAAATTTTGCGCTTTAATCAATGCAGTTTTTTTCTGAATACAATCTTTTATAACTGCAATAATGTAGCCCTCTCCTTTTTTGAGAGGGGGGGGAGAGAGAGAGAGAGGGGGGGGTCAGAAAATATCAGATCAAAAAAAAAAAATCGGAGAGGGCTTCATTATTGCAGCTTAGTCTTTTGTATCAAATACTCAGCCTATTCATAGGGCGTTAAAAGCTAATTTTTACACAGGTACTTGGGTCTTGGTTTATAAATATGCATGTACCTTCTTGATAGGTAAAAAAGTAAAGTACATTTTTACATATCAATAAGGTATAAACTTATTTATAAACGAAGACCCAAGTACCTGTGAATTTTTACACCCCCCCCTCCCCCAAATCAATTTATTAGTAAAATGTGCATATTCGTTGCTTTTATCCTTGACGGAAATGAAATAAGAGCATCTAAAGTACAATATCCATAACATAGTATAACAGGTTTCACAATAAACGTCAATTAATGAAATTGCTATTTTTCAAGTTTTTGAAACACAAAAAACGGGGGGGGGGGTAGGTAAATCTACTTCATGCGGGATTTTGAACAAAGTATTTCTTCCTGCTATAAGCCTGTAAGTTGTCAGTAGAGAACTACAGTATATTTTCTGTCGGTAGTGGTATAAATTGAATTCCCCGCGCTTGCGTGGGATTTCATGTAGTTGTATTTATAAATGATTTCTTAGCGGTATTCATGAATTAGCGCATCGTTGTCTGCGCCAAGGGCTCCCTAAAATATGAAGCCCGCTTTTTTAAGTACTCATACAGTACATGCAGATGTTGTCCTGTTGAGGTTACTATTAACCTGATTTTTATACATATTATGGGATAAAAAAAAAATCATCACACTTACCGATGCTTGTGATACTTCCCTAGCTCTATTATTAGTCTAGTTTATGCCTCACTAATGGAATGAATGATATCTTCAAATAAATTACTGCATTTCATGGTTGAAAATGTAATAAATAAACATATCATAAATTATTTGAGTTCTTATAAATTTAGCAAGAAGAAAACAGAGTACTCAGAAAGCACAAGTGAAAGTTTAGCTTTATACTGTATGTCAAGGGAGGCATCCGAATAAGTATCTCCAGTATATTTTAACAATTTTTAGCTGTAATCCTTTGATGATGAACCTCTTCTAGAGAATTTTAACTTAATATCACTCATTTGTTTACTACAAGTCAATACCATGCAGCATCTAAGGCTTTACTACTAACATGCATCAACTGACTATTCATGAGAAGAATTTTGTTGTGACGATGCAAATGCACAAGATTTTTAATATTAGTGTATTTATTTTACTTTTATACAAATCAATATCATATACTGTTGTAACCATTCATTCTTTTTTAAGTATTTTTAAATCCGCCATCACCAATCAAACCATTTTGATTTCTTGGATTTGCCTAACAAGTTTTTCTTGTATTTATTCACCATACATGTGACAGAACTGAAAAATCACAACTGGAGATTTGAAATTTTTCAGCTGGAGTTTGGGTCTCAAAGCTGGAGATTTTTTATCAACATTTTTACAAATCGCAAAAGACCATCCAACCCCCAAAATTCAGGAAAAAATACCCTCTCCCAGTTTATTACTTTACAAATTTTATTTTATAAAGTTGTTGTCTAGTTTTAAGAAAAATATGATAAAGTTTTTATTCAAATAAAGTGAAATTGAGTATTCAAAATGAAATCAATTCATTTCCTAGTAAATTAATTAAGAGTTCACAGCATCATCAAAACATTGGATAAAATTTTATTTTTGATTTAGTATTGATATATCAACTAGTAAGTGAAGTAAAACATTCTAAGGTTTTATGTAACAAATTCTATGTCAGTAATTTGTTTTTTAAATAGAATATGTACAGATGAAAAAAAGTACCCTCTAAAAAAATAAACAAATTAGAGTCAGGTATATTTTAGCAACACCCTGTAGTGTGATCTATTTTTAACTTAGAGTGTGACCTACATTATAACTGTATCTTTTTATGACCAAAGCAGCATTAGAAGATGGCAACTGTGTATTTTAGCAACTAATTACAATGTTTTGCATTCAGTAATAAACATCAATGGTCTTTTATCAAGTTGATATATCACTAATTTTTACAACATAATTATACGACCTCATGTTGATTCCTACGAAGCCTACCGCTGTGAAAATTTATTGCACTGGCGTTGTTATCTCAATTTCTTTTCATTCTGAGCAATTATATGAAACACGATCAAAAAAAATATTGCAAATAATATTTAATTTGAAGAATTTTAAAACAGGGAAGATTTAAAAATTAATCCGGAGGGGCGGAATGGGTGTGAAATATCGGGAGATTTTGTCTCCCGCCGGAAGAATCACATGTATGATTCACCAACAATTCAAAGTCATCAACACCATCTGTTTTCCTTTTCTTAGGTTTCACAGTTTTGACCTGAAATAAAGAGGAAACATGCATGCACAGTGCAACTAAATTACATTTCCTTCTACCAGTTTATTAGTATCTCTTTGGTTGTTATTTAACAACATAGAGATCAAAGCAACATATTACAATTATAACAACATACATGCGTGAGCAAAACATGTAACATATATACAAAATGTGTTTATAATTGCATCATATTTCTATATATATAGATGTTATTAACCAGGAGGTTTGACTCTCTCGTTTACAATTTTTATAAACGAACAAATTTTACTTAATAGCTTAACATTTTTGGAAGAGAACAATTCATTAAACTTGATAACATTTGGTCTTGTAACATAATATTTGGGAATATACAATTTTCTTTCATCTTTTAACTTGTTACAGCATAAAATATAGTGAAATTCGTCACCTACATCATTTTCACATAAAAGACATATTCTATTATCTCTTTCAGTACCTTCCCATCTTCCCGTTTCAATCGGTAGTTTATGATTTGATGTTCTGAATCTAGCTAAAATTTGTTTCTTATGATTACTTAAGACGCTATCTACATAAAATTGGCATCCAAATTTTGAATTTGTAAATAGATTATATATCACACCTTTTGAAGAATTATTGCAGTTTGATTCCCAATTTTGTTGAAACTGATCTAGTAATTTTTGTTTCAAACTTTTTAATTAGCCAAGTACTATTGAATAATTGGTTCTGATTCCATATATTACTGTATCCACAATCGTCTAAAATTGATTTCAAATTCTTTAACCATTTACATTCATTTCCATTGTCAAATTTAGCACGAAGTAATTTGTACATTAAATTGTAGGGATGGCAATTTGTAATCGGTTAACCGGTTACTCGGTCGGAACGATGGTAATCGGTTAGAAAATCTGTAATCGGTTAGTCGGAAAAAAATTAATATATGTGTAAATTTGAATAATTTCCTGAAAATTCAATTAAAAAAATAAAAAATACAAATAAAATTTTTCTGAAATGTAGCATGTTCACCTATCTATTTAAGCTGATTCGGAGATAATTAAGGTTCTCCAGACTGACATCGCGTGGGGATAATTGGTCACTTTTCGAGTCGTTAATTGCTGTTTAAACACATGTCGCGTGTTTCTTTAATGATTTTAATTAAATGATCGTTGACTACTGTGAACTGATTATAATGTGTACCTTATCTCTTCTATCCTTTGCAGTTACTTACCTATCAAATTATATTCTAAAACAAACTTCGTAAGATAAGCGATAATTCAGACTTAATTTTGATTATCATGACAATGCAAAATGAACTTCCTTGACATCTTTTCTCAAAATTTTTTAATACATCTGCAACCTCAGGAAGTTTCATGGGTTTCTTAATTTTTTCTTTTCTTTTTATTCCATTTTTTTTCCTTTTGCCCATTAAAATTGAAATACAATATATGTAGTATTCTGATCATATATAAATATAAGCATAATATTACTACATGAACATCTTTATAGTCTTACTTATTTGAGTGTATTCGAGAATTTTTGATACGATTAACCGACTAATCGGTCGGAACGTCTTGCGGTTAACCGATTGGCAATTCTGTATTCGATTGCCATCCCTATTATATTGCAATATTTTGATTGTTTTCCACTTAAAATTTTTGACCAGTATGCAATAATTCTTGTTTTGATATGTACAGTTAAAGGTACTCTCCCTAATTCACCATATATCATGAAATTGGGAGTACTTGGTTTTAAATGAAAAAGCATTTTACAGAATTTTAGGTGTACTCTTTCTATAATTTCAACATTACCACAACCCCATACTTCACAGCCATATAACAAAATTGGAACAACAATCTTATCAAACAAATACAATTGATCATCAAGAGAGAGGTGTAATTGATTACCTTTTTTCAAAATACCATACATAGCTTTAGTCGCTCTTTCAATAGCATATTGTTTTGTCTTAATAAATGAACCAGTTGATGAGAATATAACTCCAAGATATTTAAAATGTTTGACAATTTCAATTTCATTGTTATTGTAATAAAAACATTCTGTAGTGTACGTCCCTTTGAAAAAATCATTATTTTTGTTTGTTTTTTTTCAATATTAACCTCAAGTTTCCATTTTTCACAATACAATGAAAAACTGTGCAATTGATTCTGTAAATCTTCAGGTGATTCGGCGAGTAAAACTGTGTCGTCTGCATACAAAATAACCAACATCTTTAACAAAATACCAAGTTCTTGTTCAATCTCATATGATATTGTTGAGACTCCAATATTATTATGTGTAATTAAAAAAGATTCTACATCATTTAGGAATAAAGAAAATAAAAATGGCGATAGGTTTTCCCCTTGTCTTACCCCTATTTTGCATGGAAAGTATTCAGTAACCATATCATTTACAGCTATTCTCGATTTACTTTCAGAGTACATTTTCACTATCACATTAAAACATTTTCCAGTAATATCATTTTGAATAAGTTTTTGCCATAGTCCTATTCTCCATACATTGTCAAAAGCAGCCTTAAAATCTATAAATGCACAATACATTTTCTTTTTCAGTAAGAAAGATAATTCGATTAACGATTGTAAAGTGAAGATATTATCTATTGTAGAATAATTTGATCTGAAACCCCCTTGATTTTCATTCAGTATCTCATATTGTTCAGCATAGTTATTTAATCGCTTAGCTAAGATAGATGTAAATAATTTACCCAGGCATACAGCTTAATAAAGTAATAGGTCTATAGTTTTCAGGGGCTTTGTCGTCCCCCTTATTTTTATAAATAGGCAAAATATTACCAATCCAGCTTCAGGTAAAACCGCTGAGTTAAAAACAATATTACATAACATAACATATATAGGTAACATAAGACTAGCGGAAGATTTTATGTATTCGTTAAAAATTTCATCACTACCAGCACTTTTGTTATTTTTAATACTTGCTATTGCTTGTTTTATCTCATCTTCAGTTATCACAGAATCTAATTCTTCATGAATACGTGTACCTATATACTCATTTGATACAAATTCTTCACTGTTTACATCACAATCGTTAATATTTTTAAAGTATTCGTAAAATTCATCTATATCATTATCACATTTTTTGTTGTTCGGCCTTTTATTTATTATTTTCCAATAACTTTTTGGATCTTTACTTCTAAGTTTTCTAATTTTTTTCATTACTAAATTTCTATGTTTTTTCATACTTTTATCCATGGTATTTTTATATTTTCGTTCATTTACACGAACTTCTTTCAAGATACTTAAACCATATTTTCTAAACATTCGTTTTGATTTCCGAAATTTTTTCCGTGCTATTTTACATTCTTTGTTAAACCACTCCTTTCTTTTCTGTAGTTGTTTACTGTGATTTTGTTGAGCATTGAAAACTCCAAAAGTTTTGCGCGCCGAGTTAAGCAATAGATCTGCAGTGTTTGAAAATATTTCATTTACCTGGTTTTTATCCAGATTATGAATATCAATATTACTTAAGATATTTTTTATTTTGTCTAGATCATTCAAATTAATATTTTGACAGAATTCTTCTGTTTTATCATTATCCCAAGATTTTATCTTTTGACGCGAAGAGTTATTTTCATTTTTCATTTTTTCACATCTGGTTTGGAAGTTATAAGTGTCATTTGAGGTACATGTATATGAATTCATACCTATTTCACAAAGAAGTGGCATATGTATATCTGAGTATAACCTACTAAAATCTAGTATAGAAAATTTAAGTACATATTTAAAAAATTCAACACTACTTAAACAGTAATCAACCACACTTGATTTTGTTGTAGTAAATTTACCCTCTTCAAGTCTTCCATTCAGCAAATGCATATTGTTATTTTTACAAAAATTTAATAAATTATTTCCAAAATTATTCTTTGTTTTATCTAATGATTTTCGTTTCCTAGGTATATTTATCTTTTGTAATTCAAATACATTTGAAAGACAGTCTAAACTGGGATCATCTAACTCATATTCTTGATTTGATATGTCATTTGGTTCAATAAAATCATCCTTTTCAGACGTTCTTGCATTAAAATCTCCAATTAGGCATATATGATTAAATTCACTCTGTAGATTCAAAAATTCAAGTTCAATTTCTTCAAAAGCTTCCCTTGAACTATATATAGAACTTTCTGGGGATATGTAGACAATTCCTAAAATCAAATCTTCATCTGAATTAATTAAAAAAGAATTTAATCTTAACCAGTGAACAAACTTACAATTTGTGTGAATAATAGTTACAAAATCTTTAATAGATTTTTTGTATCCAATTACAATACCACCAGAATGTCTGTTAGAAAATACGTGTCTATTTTTAGCATCAAAGAAAAAATCAGTATGATCAATGGGTGTATTATCATCCGTTTTTGTCTCAGTAAAACACAGAATATTATAGGAAGAAATAAATGTAGAAAATTCTGGGTAATTTAAGCGTCTACTTAGACCACAAACATTTAATCCTAAGATTTTAAGTCTGCGAGCATGTTCAGTGGATGAATCGAGAGAGTCGGTTGGATAAGTGTCCACTAAATTGTCACGTGGTAGATTTCCTCCTAGGTTATCCTACCTTTGACTTACTGAGCCGCGTCTGTGGAATGGTCGGAATTCACGGGCCGCTGGAGATAGGCGCGGATCTAGATTGTGAGGTGCGGTGTTTTCCTGTTCGTAATCTGTCAGCACAAATCGTTCGCCGTTAATATAAAGTTTATCCATAATCAGTTGCCCTCTCTTGCCCTGTCGTTTAGCTGCTTTGTAGTGCGGGTACAGTAGTTTACGGTTTTCGTTTATCTCCTTTGGAAATTGTTCGAATACACTGAATTCTGGGTTGCTTTGATCGCCCGGACCGCCTTGATCCCGAAGGGCAGTGATAACCGTAATTGCAGTTTTTCGGACTTTTTTTACGGTCCTTAAAGTTTACAAATTTTGTCACAACTGCCCGAGATTTTGTCTCTTGTTTCCGGCCCATGCGGTGAACTCGATGAAACGGAATTTCATCTGTTATTCCAAGTTTATCAGTCATAAATGCTTTTAACGCTTGTTCACATTGTTCTGCACTTTCTTCTTTTGGTTCATTAATACCAAGGAATATTAAGTTGTCCCTCATGGACCTTGCTTGTAATTCATTTTGCTGTTCTTTAAGGTTGGTCAGTTTGTTTGTAATAGTTGCCATTTGTGCCACATTCTCTTTTTCTATATTTTCATGCATTTTTTGGAAATCTTTATTTCTGCTACTATCTCTTTAGATGTTTTTTCATTCTCATCTAATTTGTCACTAGTGAATGTAATGCTTTTTTCTATTTCTGACATTTTTGTTTTTAATTCGAACACATCTGTTGTGACAGTATTCATTGTCGTTTCAAATTTGCTGATTCGTGATTCAATTTGGTCAAGTTTATCTAGTTTCTGAAAAACTTTGTCAAGTGTTTTGGCTAGATTGTCTATTTTACTTCCGTAATCAATTGGCTGCATTCCGCCCTGATATTGTTGTACCTGATGTACAGGGGGTACAGGTCCTACGGGTGAAAAGCTGTAATTCATTACGGGCATTTGCGACATTTGTGGAATTTGATATGTATGATTTGGATTGCTTTGCATACTCTGATTGTTCACTGGGGTTGAAAATAACTGGTGAGAGATTCTTTGTGTGTCTACATTGTCTACATTGTCTTGAGACGTACTCATAACACTTACTTTTCTTTGTTGCGCTTCACTGCTCACATCTGGGCCTTCTTTTCTTTTCTTGCCTTTCTTTGCTTTATTTCCACTGGAACCACTTTCAGGTGTTTTAGGCCCCATAACACACAGTTGATATCGTTAGATTAATCTCCCAAATCTTTCTAAAGTTTCAAAGTTTGTTTTATAACAAAAAAATTAGTTTAAATCCAGACCTCAAAAAATCATGACTCTCATTCAGCTCACGCATGCGCTAGCATCAAACATCAGTGGCTATAATTGAACCAAGGCTTTTCACTTTAAACCATAGACTAATTCTTTCAATTTCTATATGAACAATCTTTTAATAAAGGTAAGTAAAATTACCATCAGTTATTTAATTGCCTTTTGTACAACTGCACTCAAATATCTAATGTTTAATCAAAGCAATTAACCATAGAGGCCATTATGATTAGGTGGCTCCACTAAAGAGGAAAGTACTTAAACACTTTATCCACAAAATTTTGATTAAAACTTTTGGTGAAACCTGTAAGTCTACGAGGGCTGTTCGAAAATTATTGAGACAATTACTTTAACTCCATAAAGGGCAGAGATAATTTCAGGAAAATTCGTCAACATTTTATAAAGAACGAATAAAACAATTATACAAAATTTCTAATTTAAAGGATAATTAGATAAGTTCCTGTGAAATAATAAACATTCATATGTCTATCGACCTGGAGCAGTATCGCTACGTCATTTTAACGTCACTCCAGCCGGAGATGATTTTGCATGTGAAACGATCGGGAAGCGTTTACTCTTTCTTTGTTATCATAATTATTTACCCTACAAAAATCAAACTGTCTCTTTTCTTAAACGATTCTTTAAAAAAATGTGTGTGGTTGCTTCACTATTGTAAATTTTTCATGCGTCATTTATACAGGATGACTTAGCATCATGCAGTGCCGATTTATGTAACGCGAGTCAACGTTATTAATTCCGTTACGGTAAAAATTGATGGTCGTCCGGGGCTTTTGATTTTACTGCAGTTGAATTATAGGTTAGAAAAAAAATATGTACCAATGAAATACATGTAACAAACCCTTAGACATGTTTTTTTTTTTTTTTTCTTGTTATTGTTTTAGCAGGTTGGTCAGTCTGGAAAGGAGTTTTACATAGCGCTACACAAAACTTTAGGTCTCTCGCTGCTCCACCTTGACGTCAAAATCCATTTTGTCGTCGTTATCAGATTTCTTTACCGCGCTTAATTTTTTTAATGATCTCCGTATTTCTGATCAGAAACTAACAAACTTGCACAACATGAAGTCGAATAAAATTAAAAATTTATACACATAAATTGAATTATTTTCGCTCTTATTATAGGTCCACCGGGATGTTGAACATTGGCGTTACATATTTTCAATATCTGATTTCATGACTGCGCCGGGTACCCCTACCACTGACACATTTATATACCATTGAAGAGAAGAAATTTAATATTTGTAAAATATTTCTTGCTTTTATGAATTCTTAATGTTTGTCAAACGTATATGCAAATTTTCACCTAAAGACGTTCATTAGAAAGAAAAATATACAAAATGTCTCAATAATTTCCGAACAGCCCTCGTATATCCTTATGTACATGTATTATACAAACATTTTCACTAAATACACCTGTCTCCTCAAATTTCCTTTTAAGTACATTCTTTTTTGACTTTTTATTAGTCGTCGTCACGGCTGGCCGAGGTTTGTGCCTGACTTTTTGCTCCCCAGTGGGAGGGAAGGCCTTTGGGTAACTTTTTACCATCCTCTGCAGCTGGGAGACTCCCTATAAACTTGTCCACCATTTTCGGGCTCTGGACTTTCTGCTGCTTTTTTGATTTCTTTTCTTCTGTGGTCTCATTGAAAGAGTCTTTTGATTTTGCCTTTTTAAGAGCTTCTAGGCGTCCCTAATAGCAAATGTACATGTAGCATATTTGTATTTTAATGCGTTTTGTTCATAATACAAAATGCAATTCCACAAATTTTGATAAAAATTATATCAATTTCCCCATATTATGTATCACAGGAAATAAACAAAAGCAGGCATGATAAGCTGCTGAGCGCATAATTAATTATCAGGTTTCTGTGTCTAAAGTAGGCACAACAGATCTAGAAACAGAGTCCAACAGTGGGAAGTGGGTAATACATGTAGTAGTGATATTTCTGTTACCTTTTGTCTCTCCATTCGTTTTTCTTTGGCCTGTAGAGCTGCTTTATTTTCCAGTGAAAATTCTACAATCAATCTCTGCCAAAACAATATATATAATAATTAAAAGAAAATATTGTAGTTTGTTTTAAGTGATATTCCTTTTACTTGTGAGCAAAAGTATACATGAATCTATGCACCATGATATGATGATAAGTAGTAATATTTTCCAATAAACTTGTATTGGAATTAATTCTTAAAAAAACAAATATTTTTATTTTAGTAGTCTTAGGTTTAAACTGTACCAACAGTTTTACCTTATCCTCGCCAAACAAATCGGCATTGTTATTGGTGTTTCTGAGGGCATTCAGGGCATGTTGATGACATGTGAAGTTTATAATTATAAAGGCATAGCCTCGCGACTTCCCAGTCTTCTTGCTGTTCATTCTTTCTAAATCTCGCATGATACGGCACTGTAATGTCAACATAAGAATTATATATTATTGTAATATTAAATTATGATCTTATATTACATGAAATAAAATTTACACATATACAGGTACTTAAAAATAGTTTCACTGACATATGGTGGTAAATTTCTGCCTCCTATCATTTATCCTTTTATCTTTTCATGTTCTTATTTTTGTTTTCATCTATTTATTTAATCTTCGTTATTTTGTTTGTTTTAATTTACATGAAGGATCCAACCTAAAATACGCACATACCAATTGATGTTATATGGAAAAGCATGAATAAATCTATATGAAAAGAGGGACATTGTAATATTTGTTCAGATTTACCAGTTAATACATACACAGGGAAAAAAGGCTCGCATGAACTTCATATAAAATTCGCACGAATATCATACGAATTATTCGCATGAGAAGGAGACGAAAAGGACCACGCATGATATTCTTACGAAAATATGCAATTTTCACATGAAATTCGCATGTGGGACTTTTCGCATGATTTTTGTATGATTTTCGCATAAATTTCATGCGAAAAGGCAAACACTTGAAAATCATGCGAGCCACTTTTCCCTGTGTATTCAAGAATAATTATAATGGATTTAAGCCCCATTCTACAAATATATTTCTATAACTTGTTAGGCTTAAAGTAATCACACATGCAAAATTGCCACACAGTGTTTATTTGAGAAACTCGTACCTAAATTTTCAAAACAGGCATTGGAATTTTGAACGCATAAATGTTATATTAACCAAAACAAAAAAAAACTATGTAAGACAATTGTCAAAAGAAAAGTGCAACAAAACACGCCCATGCCACGAATTTTAGAATTAATCCCCCCCCCCCCCCAAACACTGATAGGAAACTGAAATGACGATGATAAACATATACTGATATTGTTCGGGGGGGGGGGGGAGGGTTCTTCTCAAGAAAGTAATTATTGAGCCGGAACGCAGCCATAAATTAGCATTAGTTTTCTACGATATAGTGTGCACTGGCTTGATAAACTTAGTACTTTTTAAGGAATTCACTAACTTTCTCAATCTCCTATGCAAAGTTGTCGTTCGTTCCTCTCTCAGACACCTCCGCAATGGACTCGCGTCAAGATTTTTGACATTACGTTAAAAACATAACATTTCAAGGATTATTTCTAAAAACTAATAGATTTAGATCTAATTAGTAAATATCTATCCTAAAGGACTATCATTAGCTCAGACATAAATTATAATGAATTAAAACAAACGCACTATTTCTCTTGCTTATCACTGTGATATACGAGAGCCAACGACAGAATTGAATGTATGAGTCAATGGTAGAGAGTGTAACTTTCTTTGATGTAGATATTCGTGATTTAGATGTTTATTCAGTGTTAAGTGTAGAAGCCATTTGATGCATAATTCACTCCCCTGCTCAGCAATCATTACCTCAAAACGTAGCAACAATTCACTTTTTTAAAAACTTTTTCATAAAGATAACCTAATAGAAACCAAAAAATGTCCTTTAAAGTTTCTATGTTGAACGAGGATTTTAATCTAATGTACATATTCACCGTGCATTTGTTTATAGAACAAATATGTTATAAATGCCATCAATGTACAGATTAATAGTACCTCTGGATGCTTTTTATAAAAAAAATCTTTTTCTCTTGGGACATGTGAGAGTAGTCTATAATCGAATTCGCAAGATGAAATACTAAGTAACACGGAAAACAGGAAAGGTTCGACAAACTGCTTTCAAGAAATACAAGACCACGTAAATCTTTCAAAATGCAAATTCAAAATCCGTTTTACATTATCACTTTACTATTTTTGTTTAACACTGGAGATGGTTCTGCATTGTTAATGCATGGAATTTCTAATGCAAGCGACACAATCCATGGGGCAGGTGGACACAGCACAGATGTGGCGGAAATCAAGCAAATGGTTCTAAACCTGACAACTGAGATGGAAAATCTCAAGAGGCAAACTGAAATGCTTGGTAAAGAAAAAAAGTTGCTTCAAAACAGTATTCTTTTTGGAAGCGGAGCTGAATAAATTAAATGCATCTAAGCCTCCTTCCAATGATGAATTAATGGCGTATTTAAGGATACACCAAAGGTTTCCAAATGCCAGAAATTAATTTGCATGTAATTCTTTCATTATCAAAGATAACATAATAAAAGTATATATCATTTGAAAGCTTGTTAAATTTACTATTTATTTATCCTCATTTAAACTTTAATTAATAACTTATTTAAAAATTATTTAAATATTAATGTAAATTTTAGTGCATAAATATTTTATAAATCAACTTTTTTGTATTTAACCCCTCAAAGTTGTCATTTTACCTCAAGGTAGATTAAAGATTGAACTTAAAAACCGTATCTCAGATTTTCGATAAATCTTCTAATTCAAAAGTTACAGCCATTTGCCCTTCAATGTTACCAATTAATTAGCCTAATTTAACATTTCCCTCAATAATTCCAAAACTAAGCTAGGTATCAAAAATCTGAGATACGGTTTTGTGAACACATATTTGAGAAGCAACCCATCCAATTTTCAGAGAAATTGGTCAATAAATAAGGGAGCTGAATCCTTTGAAATAATACCCCAAACTGTTTGATCTTACTTTACAGTAGAGGGCAAAAACCCATTACACAACAAAATCTGCCAAAGCTAGGAATATATGACACCTTGGAGATTCAGCTTTGGATACCTGTCACTTAGCCACATTTCCTATGCATATTCACAAGAATGGGAGGTTCTTTTCTGTATTTAGATGCTTTTAATTAAGTAAAATAGGTTCAAAATCTGAATCAGAAAGATTTCCCGGCAAAATGGCAAGAGCTAAGCTCCACCTCCTATTTTATGGTCATCAGTGATCTGTTAGATCTCTTTCTCTAAATCTAGATCCCTGTAGTTTAATTACTGATAACCTCTGTGAGGCTAGTGAAGAATTCCCCAAGTGGTCACATTGATTTATTGCGTCCTTCATGAGCAGGCAGTCACAGATCAAATCAGAAGCTTCAATAACGGAACATTCACATGTGGTAGTGTTTATGTTTCATTATTGTTAAATAATTAGAAAACCATTTCATAATTACCAAAAATTTTACATGCATTATAAAGCAGTGATTAACTTCTTTTTCTTAGCCAAAAATCTCAAAATTGTTGAAAATCTTGAAAAAAGCCTTTGGTGTATCCTTAAGAAGCACAAAACAAATAGTTCAAACTTTGGCAGCAAAGGAGGAATATGACAAAAACCTAACGCTGCGACTGAATGAAGCGGAGAGTAATATTGCGATTTGTGACAAGCAAAACAATAACTTAACGAAACGACTTGACGAAGTGGTAAATAATTTTGTGATATACGAAAAGTACGATAAAAACTTAACTCAACGACTTAATGAAGTAGTAAATATTTTGGTGAAATATGATAAGCAGGGAAAGAACTTAACTCAACGACTTAATGGGATTCATGATGTTTTGACTGCAAATGAAGAGTATGACAAAAATTTAACTCAACAGCTCACTGATTCAATGAACAACTTACACGATATAAAGATTTAAATGCGATATACAAGCTTATCACTTCTGGATGTGCATTCTAAGACGGACGGACAAGCTCAATACAACATTATCTAGACATTTTGAGGATCAAATAAGGGATGTTTATGGGCGAATAAACAGTATGTATTCTGGCATTGTACAGGCGCGGATCCAGAATTTTTTTCCAGGGGGGGGGGGGGGGGGGGGGGGAAGGGTCCACTCCAGTCAAAAAAAAATTCCAACCCAAAAATTTCTTGACAAGCAAACAAAAAAAACCCTTAAATTCCCTTATTCTCTTCCAGAAAATTACTTGACAAGCAGAGAAAAAAACCCCGTAAAATCCATTTCACAAACGTGAAAAAGACTTATTTCGTGGTGGTGATGGTGGGGTCCACGTTTTCGTTGGGGGGGGGGGGGGTCCAAGATCTTTTTTTTTATTTGATTCAGTATATACTTTAAATACCTCAGCAAGTCCGGACCCCCCCCCCCATTACCCCCCACCCCTCTAGATCCGCGCATGTTGTATTTTCTTAAACAAACGTATTTGTTAAATCTGTAATTTCGATCCTTTCATTCATGAAAAATCGTTGGAATTTACATTTTTTTTATCATCAATCATCATCAATTATTAGTATTATCTCAAATAAGATATTTGTTCGTACAAATTAGAAATTTGTTCTTACTAATTAGATATTTTTTTCGATAAATTAGATATTTGTTCGAACAAATTAGATATTTTTCGGATACACGTCATATGCTACATGTACATGTAGTATATGACTATTCCCTAGTTCTGTTAGTAGTCTAGTTTATGTCGTTATAATGGAATTAATATCTTCAAATAAACATACCTTCAATTATTATCACCCCTACTAATGTGTTCGGAACCTTTTATTTTTCGCTTTTCTGCAAATTATCAAACCCGAGGAGTTAGCAGTAGCTCTGGCGAGATTAAGCGAGACTTCAGAGAGATAAAGTAAATTATTCACGGAAATATGGCTAGGAAGTGACTAGCACTTGTAGACATGGTAAACAGAAAAGTTATGTTGCGTTTCAGTTTTCACAACTGTATAATATCTTTAGAAATGTACTTCAATCTCTCTTGAATTCATTCAAACGTCAACTAGTATTCTTTATGTCATTATATTCTGCAGTTATTCTTTTTGGACAAACATACTTGCATGGGAACTGGGACTATATTTCTTGCCGTCAGATTAGCAAATGAGGTACCAGCATGACTTAAACTGACAATTCAGCTGAATGAATTTAATTGCATTGTGGGTTACTACGGATACTACAGGAATTTTACGCTTGAAAAAAAAACATTTATACAGGCGATCAGAAAGGCACGGAGAAATTTTTTCCTATGCATTTTGTGGATGAAAAGCAATCTGTCCATTTTTTATTTCTATGCTTACAATTTCAAACAATTCAATTGTTAAATAAACGTGGAATTCTAGGTTTCTCAAAGCCA